ACCTAAAGATCACCAGCTGACCGACCACGGCGAAAACTGTATTGGCGGTCACTAATCAGCTGGTGATCCTCAAGGTATCTCATAAGCTATCAGTTTACAATGGACTCCATTGTTTTGGAGAACAAGGAGGAGATACGATAGGCCGGTAGTAGGACGGATCTGAGTGGTCGCCTTTTTTAGGGATCGGGTGGACAAAAGCCGTCTTCCATGATTTTGTGACTACGCCTAGGGAGTAGGAGTACCGGAAAAGACGTGTTAAAACCGGTGCCAACTCTGGACCACACGTCCTCAGAACAATTGGGGGGATTCCGTCAGGCCCATTCGACTTGTGGATGTCCAGGGAGAGGAGTGCTTTGCGAACCGAGCGCTGTGTGAACTGCACTTCCGGCATGGAGCACTCACACCGCGGGATGGTCGGTGGCGTACTCCCCCCGTCATCGAGAGTCGAGTTGGACGCAAAGTAAGAGCATAGAAGATCGGCTTTCTCCTTTGCGGTATGGGCCAGTGAGTCGTCCTCCCTATGCAGAGATGGAAAAGATGGCTGACAAAAATTCCCCTGGACAGCCTTGGCGAGAGATCAGAATGCACGAGTTCCAGAAGAAAGGCGAACTAGTTCCTTGCCAATTCTGCCTATGTGCTCTGACTTTGCCTTGGCAATGATTCTTTTGAACGACCTAGAGGCGGAATTATACTTCCTTTTTAGAGTGCTGGTGTTTACATCCCGGGACGCTGATGCGTCGTCCCAGGCTTGGTAGCACTCCTGCTTATAGCATGATGCTATTTTACGGGAGCGACCAAACCATGGCTGAGATTTGCCTCCAATGGGCACCACAGAGGAAGGAATAAAAAGTTCCATACCCTGAAGTACCACATCAGCGACAAAATCAACAACGTTGGCATCGTCCGGCGAGAAGCAAACCCGCCCCCAAGGGTAGGATGCAAAGAAAGACCGCATCCCATCCCAATCGGCTGACCTATAGTGCCAAACACGGCGGCAGCCTGCAGAATGCAACCGCGATTTCAGCGTGAGTGGCACCACACTCCGGACAAGACAATGGTCCGAGGAGCCTAAAGGGGCGTCGACGGAAATCTGATATCCGTCCGGGTGAGAGGTCAGCAGAAGGTCCAACAGGGAAGGTGCATGATCCTCCACATCTGGAATCCGTGTAGGCGAAGTAACCAGTTGTGTCAGACCATATGCCAAGGCAAAATCATGAACAGATCTCCCTGCATGATCGGTTAAACGTGAACCGAGCCATTCGGCGTGATGGGCGTTAAAGTCGCCGAGGATCACGATCTCTGCGGAGGGGATCTGCTGTAGCAACGAATCTGCAGCCATTTGGACGTGGTCGAAGAGTCGGTCTGTTTCGGCATTACCGCTATGGGACCTATAGAGGCACCCGTAGACGCGCGGATGGTCGTCGCTGTCTACGCGTAGCCAAAGGATGGACAGGTCTGAACCTTCAAGTCTGCCGAGACGTCGAGAACAGATGTCCTCTCTGACGTAAACGCAAACTCCAGCCCGAGCCACAAAGGAGTGTTCCAGGGTCTCGTATCTCTCCTACCCCGGGTAGGAGAGATACGAGACATCAGCCGGAGAGGACACCTGCGTCTCGGTCAGAAAGAGCAGAGCCGGCCTCGTCGTCTCGAGATAGTAGTGGACGGCGTTTAGGTTAGATTGAAGTCCCCTGATATTGCAGGCATTCACGGACAGCGTGGCAGGGTTGCCTTGGTCTTGATGCTCCGTTTGCCCCGAGCAGTTGTAGTCTTGAGCCGAATTTTTATAATGATGAATTTTGTAGACTATGATACTCGTAATTTTATGATGTTATATTGATTTTTAAAAGTTGTCGAAGTTATTTCTTTAGAAACGTAACTTGAACAACCATATATCTATTCTTTACACAACAAAATTTGCCAACAATAAACATAAAATATATAGTCTTTTTAAGCGTAAGAGTAACCACTGCCACGTGTCATCCCGTGGTGTCGTAAAAACCTACAGAGGGAAACTGAAACATGAGATTGGCAGCAGCATCTTCCTGATAACAACAAAAAATTAAAAAAAAACTGCGATGATAAACCTAAGGAAGCAATCTATGCGATTTTTTGATTGAGAGTCCTATGTTCAGCAAAGGAGCATTGATATTAAAGAATTTAATAATTAATTAGATAAGTTTATTTTTTATTATTATTAATTAGATTAATAAAAGAAAATAATTTGTCTTACTCTTTATACGTAAAGCCATATAGCTATATTACGATTGTAGCATGAATGGGTCGGTTCAACCAGGGAAGGACCACGCTCTCACAGAATACCAGCGTAAAATAGCAGCTTAATTCTGCTGTGTTTCGTATGGTGAGTGTGGAGAACCGGAGACCCGTTTTACTGGGCCACAGCATCTACTTACTATCAAGTGGACAGTGTGCACGTTTGTCGCCACTATTCTATAAAAAAAACTTATTTTGGTCTGACTTGGAATTCAAATCCGGGACCTCATGATCATCAAAAGCGTTTACGAATGCAACTGCAGCAACATTAAGCTGCTTTTTTTACGCTATCTGAGAAAGCGTTGTTTTACCCGGTCGAGCCGACTCATTCTTGCTACAACCATAATATAGTTACAGCATGGCACTAAAAATCGTTATTGTTATGTTATTACACATTAACAATTGTATATTTTAAAATGATCATATCTTATGTCCTTGTAGTCGTTCTTCCACAAATAAGGAAAATCTTTGTAAATGTCTATTACAGACTACAAAACTCCTCTTTTTTTTTCGACATGACTGCACGTGAAAATAGAAACACGAAAACAAAACACACTACCGCTTTCCGTGCTCGTCGCGCATCGAAAAAGTGCAAAAACTACCTTAAGAATTATTACACTGCACGGTGGTAAGCGCGCTAAGGGAGTTAGGCGGACCGGATTCACTCTGACGCCCTAATCAGGGACCCTTACTGCCTTAATCTTATTACACCTCTCTTGTTAAGGAGATAGGGACCCTGAATCAGTGTGGTGTAATAGGCCTATTAATCGCCATTTAATCATGTACCTTTCATTGTGTTTACGTGAGAGTGTATCATTTCTAACATATTAAACATTTAATAACCTAAATCTTATGAACTAACGTTGTAGTGTTTTAATAACAAAAGAAGTGATAAAGTAAACCAAAATAGTCTTTATCAAAGAAGTGTTGTTATATAATATATATAATTCCAAATATTTCCACTTAATGAATAATAGAAATATTGTCGAATGTTGAAGAATGAAGTGTATCCTCCTCAATAATTAAACATTTATGTTGTATAAATTGCATTACTGCCTACAAAAAGTTATATATTGAACAGTATATTTGTGATATGTACGATATAATGTGTTTATTCCGACTGTAGCTATAAAATGTATTCATAAGATTTGTGGAAGAAATATTAGTATAATAATTATAATTGACAATTTCAACGGCTACCCACTATTGAAAAATATGAAAATTTGTAATAATATTGATAATTTCAATCCATGACTTAATAGAAGATTGGTCTAATCAGCTTAACTTAGTGTGTTATTCACTTCTTACAATACAATTAGGTGTGGGATCGAGTCCAACCCACGAGTTTAAAAACATCTTTTATTTTATATTCGTATATACTTTTATTTCTTGTTATCGCTTATATAACGAAGGGCGTATTTTAAGATTATATGTAAAAAATTATTTAATAAGCAGTCCTAATTAAAAAATGGAATTTGGAAATATAACGTACAGAAAACCACAACGCTCTAGTTCGTTACAAGATATGTCAGATCTCAATTCCTCTTCTACACTGTTTGACGCAACCGTGGCAAGCTTACCGAATGCATCTCTATATGAAAGTCAAAATAATATTGATTTAAATGAAAAAAATAAATAAACTGTCGAGTGACTTATTAATTGCTCATCAAGAAATAGATAATCTCAATAGTGAAAATACTAGTTTAAAGTTAGAAATTGAAAAATACCAAAAAATAATTAAAACATTTAAAAAAATTACTACATATTCCTCATGTAATACGACACCTGCATCAGTGAACAAGAGACGACAAACCTTGCAGATACCAGAACAAAATCTACTGTGTACACCTATAAACAGAATAGAAATGTCAGAGTGCAGTATTAACGAAATCAAAGACAAAGAACAAGAATTAGTCAATAACATAGAAAAAACAGATAGCTCAAATCATCTGCCTAACACATCATGTCACATTCATCTAGAGAAAGAAGATATTCACAAAGAACACACGGAAGTAATTGCAACAGACACAAATACTAATACATCTCTTAATACTCCAAAAACTCAACTAGGAAACACTTTGCCATATTATATAAGAGAAAAAAATGACAATTACAAATTAGCTACATTTAAGATGCGAAGGAAAATAATTGTTATTGCTGACCAACAAGGGCGAAATATTTGCAAAACTATTCAAAAATTAATTGGCGATAATTTTCTTGTAACTTGTTATTGGAAACCAGGAGCTAAAATACAGGAAGTCTTACAAACAGAAAAGAACGAAATATGTAAACTTACAAAAAATGATTATGTTGTTGTTCTTGGCGGCGTGAATGAGAATAATCCATATGAATTTGAATTTTGTATCAGGTGCTGGCTTTATAGTGTAACAAATACTAATGTAATATTTACAGAAATACCATATAATAGAAATTTAAACATCGGCAAACTTAACTATGTATTAAGATTTATATGTACAAGCTTTACTAATGTTTCGTTTATAAATACAAATGGTTCGAAGCCTTTCTTTCATCAATATACTTTTACTCCATATATACCATGTCGTTTTCTGCTACGTGAAATTCTACGCCTCGACTACAAATTAAAATTTGAGCTTTACCAAAATATAGTAATTTCCTCAAAATTTACTCCACTTCAGACTACTAGTACACAAACTGACAATATTGAAATGGTAGACACATGTACACAAAGTGACGATATATTGAAAGACAATATCATAGAGGAAATCACTCCCAGGCATGAAAATATGACACATTCTGGTAAAAATCTTTTTCGTATATAAAAAAACTATATATATTACATCAAAATATTAATGGATTAATTGCTAAATCTGATCTCCTAACTGTTAATTTAAATAACCTCGAATTAGATGGGTACTCGGCTGATGTTCTATGCATAACTGAACATAATATGACTTACAATGATACGAATTCATTCAAATTAGATAATTATACTCTTGCATCGTACCATGTTCGAGAAAATCGTCATGGAGGCTCCTGCATACTAGTTAAGAAATGTCATAAATATAAACCTCTTCCTGAAATAGCACAACTTAGTAAAACGAACGTAATTGAATGTTGTGCAGTTGAACTTATAGAGCATAAACTTAAAATAATATGTACCTATAGACCTCCAAAAAATAGAAATGAAGATTTGAATAATTTTTTGTATAATTTCGACTTAATATTAAAAAAATACTGTAATAATAATAAAAATAAAATTATAATTTGTGGAGATTTTAATATAAATATAATAGATGCAACCAAAATTTCTAAAAATTTTATACAACTATTAACAAGCTACAATCTAAAAACAGCTATAAAAGTATCTACACGACTAATTAGTGATACATGTATCGACAATATTTTTCACAATATTCAAGGGTGTAAGAGCAATACTTATGACTTAGCTTTGTCAGACCATACGGCACAACTGTTAATATGCCCAGTCAAGCAAAGCTACTATCTTAATTACTGGCATATAAGCAGACGCGATTACAATGTAGAAAATCTTCACAAATTTAACAATTACTTGAGCTCTCTCACTTTCAACGAGGTTTATAAGGAAAAAAATCCTAATCTTGCTTTTGACCAATTTCATGACTTGTTTACCCTCCTCTATCGCCTATGCTTTCCTGACATTAAAATTAAAGTCTATTCACGTAAACAAACAAAATGGTTATCTAATGGGATAAAAAATGTACTAAGCGTAAACGACAGTTATTATGGCAATACAGAAAAAAACGCAGCGTAGAAAATAAAACTATATTAAAAGAGTATTCCCAACGTCTAAACAAAATTATCAAACTTACCCAAAAGTCCCAAAATAATTACTATATTAACACAGCACAAAATAAATCGAAAGCTACCTGGCAAGTGATAAATAAATACAAAAATGGCACAAATGAGGAAGCAATTAGTAAAATTATTGTTGATGGTGATATAATTGAGGATCCTCTAGTTATAGCTAGGGCATTTAATAATTTCTATACCAACAAAATTAATAAAGACCGCCCAAATAGTGATAAACCATATAAGTTAACTTTTAACAATCCCAATTCAATTTTTATACCACCCACAACATCATTTGATATAGATAAAGCTATAAAATCTCTTAAAAACACAAACAGTACCGGTTGTGATGAAATTTGTACAAGAGTTCTAAAATACGTATCCGGTGCAATTGCTCCGGTACTTAGTTATATTTTCAATTTATGTATTTGTAATGGTATATTTCCTGAAAGACTAAAGTCTACAATTGTCAAACCACTGTTCAAAAAAAATGATCGGGAGAATATGTCTAACTATAGGCCCATTGCGCCTATACCTGTGCTCTCAAAAGCATATGAGAAAATAATTTATAACTCTTTATATAACTACCTTGAAACGTACAATATTCTTAGAGAAGAACAAATAGGATTTAGAAAAAATAAGACTATAAATATGGCTCTATACAATTTTTTTTAATACCGTTATGTCTAGCCTAAACAATAAAATACCTGTATGTGCACTTTACATGGATCTTATTAAAGCATTTGATTATGTTGATCATAAAATATTACTCAAAAAGCTTGAAGCCTACGGCATTCGAGGTAATGCACTAGATCTACTAACATCATATTTAGTTAACAGAAAACAAAGTACACACATTACAAAAATTTGTCTAAAATCAAGAAAAGAAATGACCTATGTTTCTGAATACAGAGTCGTACAAACTGGAGTACCGCAAGGAAGTGTTTTAGGACCATTGTTGTTTCTTATTTATATCAACGACCTTCCCAACGTCATTAATCACAAAATAGTATTATTTGCTGACGATAGCACAGTTATTTTCACTAGCAGAAACAAAATAGATTTAGAAAGTAACATACACTTTGCTTTAGAGAAAATCATGAATTGGCTAAACATAAATAATTTAAATATAAATTTAGAAAAAACAAAACTTATGACATTCTATCAAAAACGTAATAAAATAAATAATTTAAATATCAATTATCTAGGACAAAAAATCAATACCATAGATAATATAAAATTTTTGGGTATAAATGTAGATTGCAATTTGAACTGGCAGTCTCATGTGAGCAGTGTGTGTATGAAATTAAATCGTTTTTCGTATGCGTTATATATGCTTGGAAAAGTTGTGGACACATCCGCCGTAATGGCATCATATCATGCTTATGTTATGTCTACACTTAGATATGGTATTATGTTCTGGGGTAATTGTACGGACAAAGAAACAGTATTTAAAGCTCAAAAGAGATGCTTACGAGCCATTTGTAAAATTAACCAAAGTGAGAGTTGTAAGCCATACTTCATTAATTTAAAATTATTAACAATGCCATGTCTATATATATATGAGGTAGTCTTATTTGTACGTCAAAACTTAAGTTTTTACAAAAAACTAAATGTCCAGCGTCATAAAGATAAATTGAGCCATCCCAATAGTAAGACTGTTTTGTTTCAAAAAAAGCGTATTCTGTATGGGTCCTCGACTGTATAACCATTTACCTAAATATATAAGAGATTCTAAGAGCTTTCACATTTTTAAGAAACAACTAAACACATTTTTAACCATAAAAGCGTATTATAATATTGACGATTATCTATATGACAATTTTTAAATTTTAACTATCAAATTTATTGAACGAAACGTTATCTATGTTATTAATTTTGAGACAATTTATACCTACTCGTTTTGACATTATTACTTGGACATTACAATTTTAATTATTACATGTATTTTATCATTATTTTGTGAATTATTATTATGTTAGTAGCGCAAATATACAAATAGGGTTATATTATGTTAATGTAATTATCGGCATTTTCCATTTAATTTTAATTATAAATAAAATCTAATATTTAAGTAGTTTGCATACCGAAAGGTAGAATATGGCTGTATTTTGTTAAATTATTAAGACCTATTGTAACCCATATATCGCAAATGAATAAAATGAATTTCATTTGAATTTGAAGATATTTTACTAATACGGTGTACTTTGCGGATATTTATTATTGAAACCTGGTAATACTTAATTATAACAAGTGTTCAAAGTCAGTTCCTCCGTCAGTTTGCCTTCCACGGAATATAACGGCCACCCATTGCCAATGCTACAGAGTACATTCATATATGCTAGCCACAGACAGTGCCAATCCATAAATTACTCTAGTTAGTAGTTAGTCTGTTCCGGTGTCCGCTGAGACAAATTCGAGGTTGGACGTAGACTGTATATTCTAAAACACTTTCTTCTTTAGTACTTTTTACTCGACTACAGCGGCTAGTTACTCACCGAACAATAAAATGGTCTTTATGTTTTATGTGATACGGAACTAATTCGCAGTAAATGAATTGTAACACAAATCAATACATTTTATTTTAAAGCAGTACAATACGATATCATAATAACATATAAAACGTCAGATATATCTGTAATATCTATATTTATTAATTTATAGAGACAACATTAACATAACTTACCATAATATCTATATATTTTAGATTACCCCCCCTGCCCCATGTATAAACTGATACTCTTAGAAAAATGAAGTCAATTCGTGACAAGGCTTGTCACCGGGCCAAAACTACAAAGTCGCAAAGTAGTATGCAATTTTACCGTAATCTGCGCAACTATTATAACCGATCAGTTACTCTACAAAAACAGGCATATTTTACTAGGTTTGTCAACAATAATAGGTCAAATCCTTCTCATATGTGGCGTCACATAAAACGAATAATTTCACCTGCCGTAAAACCGTTCCATACCGAACCATCTTCTTGACCCTGACTCACTTAATAATCACTTTACAAACACCATATCATGTGCACTTCCCGACAAAAGTGTTATTCAAGAAATCGAATCACTTAAACACTCTGAAATCGAATATCAATTTGTAGCCGTAAATGAAACGTTAGTGAAAAGTATAATTGCTTCTACAGCTACTAATGCGACCGTAACTGATGGCATCTCCATGTTGATGTTAAAACTTACGCTTCCACATTATTTGTCAACGATAGTCAAAAAAATCTATATTGGAAGGAGTGTTTCCAGAATCTTGGAAATGTGCCATCGTCACTCCCATTCCTAAAAAATCAACGGTGGATAATATTTATGTAATAAGACCAATAAACATTCTTCCTGCACTATATAAAATAGTTGAAAGATGCGTTCTTTATCAAATTTCACTATATCCAGAACGTAATCAAGTACTACCTGTGATTCAATCTGGTTTTAGAAAGAATCACAGTTCAGTATCAGCACTTTTAAATATTACTGATGATATTCTTGCTGCGTCCAATGAGGGTAAGAGAACAATTATGGTTTTACTAGACTTCAGCCGCGCTTTCGATTGTGTTGATATATCAGTCCTATTGGCAAAATTAAAATACTATGGTTTTACAGAATCGGCCTGCATCTGGTTTCAATCTTATTTCCATAATCGCTGCCAAAAAGTGCAATGATAGAATAGCAAAGGATTTCTAAATGTGTCCAACACGCTCCCCCTTAATAAAAATGTTATCGAGGGTTCAATATTTGGTCCCACATTATTCGCAATTTACACGGCCAGCATGACTAAAGCTATAACTCACTCGAAAATTCACTTATATGCAGATGACAGCCAAGTATATGTTCACACATCGCCAATTGATGAGGAGGTTGCTGTTGATATTTCCAAGTTAAACAAAGATCTTGATTCTATTGCGGAGTGGTCTTTGAAACACGGCCTGGTACTTAATCCCTTAAAGATTGTCACCATCACACTTGGAACAAAGCACCAGGTAAAA